TATCTTTGAAGTTTTAGTTTGGGTGGAAATAGTCTGAAGACGAGTCAAACCAAATAATTATGAAAGAAATCTATATTCAAATGTATTGCCTATACATTGAAGAGAATTTTCTGCTTCAAGACTTCAATAAAAAGGAATAAATTTTAATCAATAGCGAACATTAAATATTAAAAGATATCTACAGAAAATATATAGTAAATAAGTAAAAACTTTTGTATGCCAGCAACTATTATAAAAATCTCATGCATCTTAATCCGTCTTACTGCAAGTCGCTCAGATACTTGCAGCAACTGCAGCAACATAAGCCAAACTTTAACAACAAACAAAAACAAAGCATAATTTCTGAACAACTCTTGTGGCAGCCAACCGAGCGAAAGGCCAACTTAAAGCAAACCAGGCCAAGTTGGGATATTACCAACAGCAAGAAAACAATGAAATTCGACTAGAGCAGAGCAAAGGCTAAAAGACAATGCGAAACTTGGTCAGCCAAATTAGCCTGCAAATAAAACAAAACTCAATTAGTTATGCGTACTTTTTGTGGCAAGTCGTGGCTGATGCTGCTGCTGCTACTGTTACCTCGTCTGTTGTTGCTGTTGCTGTTGTAGTCTCATTAATATTAACAGGATGCGCCACGCCCAAGTGCAAAGCACTTTTTTTTTTGTAATTTTAATGAAGCTGCAACAACAACAAGCCAATACGCCCAATGGTATGCAACAGTGTTCTTGGCTTAAATTTGTGCCACTTCTGTTTTGCATGTTGCTGCCCCACAGCTGCCGCTGCCGCTGCCGCTGACCCAAATACCTGTCCAGTCGAGTACACTCGTCCTGTATATATATAAATACAAATTTCCATTGTTTCAGCATTATAATTTATGCCAAAGTGCCGGAATGGCAGAGAGAAGTCAAAGCGAAGGCAGCCAAGTGCACATAGATTCCACTTTTTTACAAGTTTCCACTCACATAAATAACGTTTTGCTGATTTTCCAATAAAATTTAAATGTGAAAAAAATATATACAGCATGTGCAATGAAAAATTGTGCTAACTTGAAAAGGAATATATATTTTTGTAGCGGTATAAAATAACAGGCGGCTAACACTATTTTCTTTGAAAAACAATTTGTTTAAAATACAATATATTTTTATAATTATACGATTTAATATATAATTCAATAATATTTAAGTAATATTTTCTTTTACTCTAATATAAAAAAAATACATTTTTTTTTGTTTACTTTATATAAACAATTATTATTGTATATAATTTTTCTTTTATTGAGTTATTTATTTATTTTTATTTCATTATATTATTATTATTATCATTTATAACTTCATTTTTTCCGCTGCTTTTATTTATTTTATTTTTTTATTTTCTTCAGTATAGTTTTTATATTTTTAATCATGTTTATTTAATTTTTTACATATTAATTTTTATTGTTTATTTATTTATTTATTTTTTTATTTTTATTTTATTTAATAATTATTTAAAATATATATTTCATTTATTATTTTTAAATCATTTATATATGCATATTTTATTATAATTTCAAATGGTTTATTTTTTCTATTTTC